TGATTGTGACAGTTTACCGACTTTCGACTAAATACAATGGAACTATTTTGACATTTATGGTAAGAATTGTGATTGTGATGTTGACTGACAGTTGTTTTGATTTTCAGATTCTCTTCGATTATAGAAATGCTGTCTTTGACTTCTCTATTCTTGCCTTCATATCTGTATCAGGTGACCCTCGTTTATCAATGGTGCTGTCCATTTATGTAAAAGTCTCTACCTTTTCTAGAGTTTCGCCATCAAGTGTGATTGGGTTGGAACCATTTACTAGTTTGCACAAATTTCAGACGATTACTCAGTAGTCTTTACTCACTTATTCGTTAGGGATTCAACGTGAAAGATTTCGGTCATATGGCCAGATGAACCGTACCATCCACATCTTGTCCTGTGAACCTCGATGTGAGTCACATGTGGAGAAATTTTAACACTTTACTTCTACCCAAAGTTTGTACTGATGATGTCGTTCAGAAGAATGATGAAAGCTCCATGACCAAACCATCCAGCTTAGAGAACAAACCTACATCAAAAGATAGATAGCTTGTATATTACTATTAAGTAGATGGAAATTAAGAATAATTGATTGTTAAACTAGTCAAAAATCAATATCTATTACGTAACCAAGATGTAAATTGAAGATGGTATTTAAACTATATGACATAACAACATCTCCTAAATTGTTAGATTGTATGTTAAGATCTTTAATGTGATACAATGTATAGTTAAGAGTATTGAATGAAGTCATATAATAATTTTTCTATTCTAACTCTCTAACATCTTAACTCTGTTTCTTAAGTTCTAAAGTATTACATTCTAACTGATATAAACCCAAACCTCAACTTGTAAACTTAACCCATTAGCCAGAAATAAAAGTTTCAGTAGTTTTTCAAGTGCCATTGTATCAAGACAATTTCAAATTAATAGTTGAATTCATGAATCCATTTAAACTAGACCATCATGAAAAACCTCGAAGTAATGGATGATCGTTTTGTCCTGCTATGGGACTCTTCACTGTTGACAATGATGGACGGTTGCGCAATAACATGGGTTGGTTGGAGTTAGATATCATTAACACAACTGGTCTAAGGGTTAAACATTCGCACGCGAGACCGAAGGTTATAGGTTCGAGTCTATTTGGTATGGGATTGTGGATGCGCCTTTCCGAGGAGTCCTATACTAGTATGAAACGGCCATCCAATGTTTTCAGGTTTTCCATGGTGGTCTAGCTTACATCAACTCATGAACTGAACTGTTAAAATAAAAGAATCTCCACAAACCTCCATTCTGATAATTTTAAATCAATTAATTATTTCATATAGTTGAAACCATGAGTCAATTGAAACCAGACCATCATGGAAAACCTGGAAGCAATGCTTTAAGGCCGTTTCATCCTATTATGGGATTCCTCAGCAGTGCGCATCCACGATCCCGCCTCGTGAGATTCGGACTCAGTGCCTATGAGTCTCAACAAGTAGACCACTGAACTGGCCGGCATCCAACTGTGTTAATGTCTAACTTCAACCAATCCACGTAATTGAGCAACCATTCACCAATGTCTTTAGTGAGTTGATATCTCCCAACAAACCTGGTTGAACTCCGCTGGTCACAGCTTCTCACTAGAACTCCAGGAAATACCTCATGGAACCAGTCACTAGTGAGCATATGATCATTATAGGTATTATTAGTATCTTCCTTCATCAAACTATTCAAGATTTCAAATAGGTAATGGGATTAAGTTCATTTTGTATTGTTTGGTTGAATCTTTACATTGATGTTTAGGACCACAATTGATCAGTCACTTATTACTGGCAGGTCTGCATCCTGTTGAGATTATCTCGATATTGCTTTAAGTCACAAGCATTATGAGCATAGATGATAGTGGTTAGCATTGGAATCCAGAACACACATTTCGTCTTATTTGGGACTTGCCAGCTAGATGTACCTCCATCTGAGGTTTGATGTCCATTTCAAGACTCGAACCCAGTGCAGTACCCTTCGCTGAAAGCGCCACTACGTTATTCGTTTAGCTACTGAGTTACTGAGTTGTCAAATTGACGAATTTTCGTACAAAGGTTATTCTGATTTATTTTTTTGTTTTTAATGATTCCATATCTTTTGAGCTATCAGTAATAATCATAGGATAAAAGTGACTACTTTTTTTTCTGGTTAGCGTTTTTTTAGCAAGTTGGTTTACTACGGGATGGGGTCGCTAACCTCATGCCCAACTCTCCTCCTTTACCCGGGCTTGGGACCGGCAGTAGCCCCCTGAGGAGCTACAGGTGGAGTTTAAAAGTGACTATTTTGCAAATGCTTAATTTCAGGTACTGTACTTTCGTTGAAAAATTCACTAGATTTACACCTTCATATCTCAAAAAAGTTTCTGTGAAGATACCAACTGAATTATACGAAGGAAAGAGCGTAAATATGTACAATTTACGACTAAAATCTGTCCGACTGAATATGTTCCTCGGTCTCTCACTTTTCCGTTTCGTTTCGGGATTCGAAGTTGGCGTTTACCTCGTGATGCAGTTCGATGGTTTCGACAATATATGTCCTATCCACCTCCAAAATCTTTTCCTAATTTCCTCTTCAACTGAAAACTGGTTTGTTTTCTTCCACAGTAGGTTGTTACCGATGGTATCCGGTCAACGAAGATTTAGTATTTTGTGTAGACTATTGTTGAGAAATACTTGTGCATTATTGATGTTTGTTTAAGTAGTTCTTGAAGTCTCAGCTTCATACAGTAGGACTGTGTTGACGTTCGTAATGAACGTTCTGACTTTAATGTTGATTGACAATTGTTTTGAGTCTCACTTGTTCTTCAACTGTAGGAATGCTGTCTTTGCTTTGCCAATTTTCGCCTTTACGTCTGCATCAGATTCTCCTTGTTGATAGATGATATTGTCCAGTTACTTGAAAGATTCCACCTTCTCCAGACTTTTCCCATCAAGTGTGATTGGGTTGGTACAAGCTTGTAAAAACTGGAATTGTGAATCAGTCAGTAAAAAAAACCCATCTATCTGAAACTGAACTTTAAAGCGGATGTAACGAGTGATATTTTACCATGTCAACTCAAAAAATCTATTGAAAGGATGTTTCACCCCGTCAAGCTACATATAATTTTATCAACTAAACCAATACTTACATAATAAATCAAAGATAGGTTACTGATGATGGGCTCCTTCATGTGCATATACCAATTCAAATGCTCATGTGGAGCTAGTTAAATAAGCCATACTAAGAGGGCTTTATCTTTGAGTGTTCGTGAACACATACCAACATGGTTGGGAAAAGAAGCAGCTAAATTGATCAACAGTACTATTCTTTCTCACTTGGTAGATAGTGAACATTATATCAAAATAGTGGAAGCTTTCTCTATTTTATATGAATTTTCAAAAAATCTACCTTAAGGCGAAGCCATCTGGATCAACTCGAGAAAACCAAACATACATATCCAGAAGAATTATATCAAGCCTCTATGTGTTACCTTAGCCTACGATTGGATAACCGGATGCCTAAAATGAATATTATAAACTTCTTATCCCCCCTCCCTCCCAATTTCTTTCTTGTTTATTATCTTACCTGGGCAGCATCATTGATGAACACGGTGGATCAGATGCAGATGTGAGGGCAAGGATCGGCAAAGCAAGAGCAGCATACTTACAACTGAAAAACATCTGGAGCTCAAAACAATTGTCAACCAACACCAAGGTTAGAATTTTCAATACAAATGTCAAGAAAGTTCTACTGTATGGGGCGGAGACGTGGAGAAATACGAAAGCCATTATTCAGAAGATACAAGTGTTCATCAACAGCTGTCTACGCAAAATACTTCGGATCCGATGGCCAGACACTATCAGCAATAAGTTACTGTGGGAGACAACAAACCAGATTCCATCCAGTGGAGGAAGAAATCAGGAGAAAGCGCTGGAAGTGGATTGGGCACACCTTGAGGAAATCAGCTAATTGCGTCACAAGACAAGCCCTCACATGGAAACCTGAAGGTCAACGGGAAAGAGGAAGACCAAAGAACACATTACGCCGAGAAATAGAGACAGACATGAGGAAAATGAACAACAACTGGATAGAACTAGAAAAGGAAGCCCAGGACAGAGTGGGTTGGAGAAAGCTGGTCGGCGGCCTATGCTCCATTGAGAGTAACAGGCGTAAGTAAGTAAGTAAGTTATTATCTTACATAATCTTCACATTTATCTTTCCTTATTCACATGAACCCATTTTCTTATCGTAATTACCATGATAACAACCCCTCTTCTTGTTACAAGTTATATTCATAAAACAATATTATTATTATTACCTTAAATAACAAGATGAAGTTCTCCTACTATCCATTTTATTCACACGATCTTGTATAAGAAAAAATTCACTTAATATTGTTTGTTTGAATCCAGTCCAGTTCTTCCAGGTTTTCGATGGTGGTCTAGCTTCAATTGACCCATGATTTCAACTATGTTTGAATCTTCTCATTGGTGTTTAGGACAGCAACTGCCAATAAGAGACTGATCAGTTGCAGTCCTAACAAATCGATGGGAAGATTCAAACAAACAATACTAAATGAATTTGATTTTCACTCCATTACACTAGCAAGTGGCTATCAGAACTCAGTAACCGAGTGGATAACGCGATTGCATTTGAAGCGAAAGTTACTACGTTCGAGTCGCAGATTGAACATCAACTGTAAGATGTAGGTACATCAACAGTTGACGAGTCTGAAATAGGACGAAGTGTTCTTCAAACTGGATTCCACTGTTAGCCAATATCCATTTTTACTTATCATGGTGTATATAAGAAGAGTTTTACTTTATTAATCTCATATAGAAATAAACAGAAACAATATCAACTCTCTCCCTATCTCTTCTATTCATATTCTTTACTCATTCATATATATATTCATCAATTAATTATCTTAGTCCATCTGTACTTCAAAAGTTACCTTCTTTGGTTTGGTTTGGTTTTGTTATAAAGAACAATAAATAATTCAATGATCACGCATTTACACTTGTTTCTATTATATTCAATAATAAACATAGTAATGAATACAGTTTCATGGAGACAGCAACTGATGATGATGATTTGGATGATGATGATGATGATGATGATTTGGATGATGATTTGGATGATGATTTGGATGATGATGATGATTTGGATGATGATGATGATGATGATGATTTGGATGATGATGATGATGATTTGGATGATGATGATGATGATTTGGATGATGATGATGATGATGATGATGATGATGATGATGATGATGATGATGATGATGATGATGATGATGATGATGATGATGATGATGATGATGATGATGATGATGATGATGATGATGATGATGATGATGATGATGATGATGATGATGATTTGGATGATGATGATGATGATGATGATGATGATGATGATGATGATGATGATTTGGATGATGATGATGATGATGATGATGATGATGATGATTTGGATGATTTGGATGATGATTTGGATGATGATGATGATGATGATGATGATGATGATGATGATGATGATGATGATGATGATGATGATGATGATGATGATGATGATGATGATGATGATGATGATGATGATGATGATGATGATGATGATGATGATGTGGATGATGATGTTGATGATGATGATGATGATGATGATGATGATGATGATGATGATGATGATGATGATGATGATGATGATGATGATGATGATGATTTGGATGATGATGATGATGATGATGATGATGATGATGACCACAAAACTATATTCGTTTACTTTCTCATTTAATAATCAATTTAAGAATAGATAATACATGTCACAAGTACCTAGGTATACAAAATCTGTATGATTCATAGTTATGTATAGATGAGAAAGTCAATGAATAGGTAAAACAGTATAAGTATTCATTCATACTCTATACCTCCATATATATAAATTCACTTGGTATTGTTTGTATTGAATCTTCTCATTGATGTTTTAGGATTGCATATATACATACTATATGTATTGCTTCAATATGATCTTTATTCATAAGCATTCTAACATAAAGATGGATAATGGCTAACAGTGGAATTCAGTTTGACACGTGTTTTGTCCTATATCATGAAGCCAATATATATGAAAGAGCAATTTGGAATGAGTTACTTCTTCTTCTTCTTCTTCTTCTTCTTCCTCTTCTTCACACACACACACTCACATATAGGGATGCATATATTCTTCTAATTCATTCATTGATTTTTGATGTACCACCACCATTGTAATATTAACCCTTAAAGAAAGTAAATTATACTGTTAGGAAGGAAGGATATCTCCATAGTTATAAAATGATTACCGTACAACCTTTTTTTTTTCTTCTTTTGATGAGTATACAATATCCATTTAGTATTATAATGAATGATAATGATTATTAGTTTTAATTTTATTTGGAAATACCAAAGTGTTTGTGTGTGTGGATGTGTGTGTGTGGAGTGTGTGTGTGTGTAGTGGGGGGGTAAATCTGGTTGTTGTTTTTTTGATAATGATGCATAGAAATTGTAATTTCTGTATTTAAAATGTCGCCAAGTATTTTCCTTTTTAATGAATAGTCCATTAAATAATAAATTGACTGTTTTATGAGTCATATAAGTATCTTATTTTCTTTTTATCCTTTAATAAATGGGATTGTTTTCATGCGACTATCGAATAGCCTTCTTTTTCATTTTAGAAACTGTATAAACGTCATTTTATAGTACTACTATTACTAATACTACTACTACGACTACTACTCACATTTTATGGTGTAGTAGTAGGTTGGAAGAAACATAGGTACGATTAGACCGAAACGTAGTACAAATTCATCAAGTCATTGACAATTGAATTGAGTCATGTTGGTAGGTGTAGACTATCTGGTTGGAATCCGTGAGATGATAACAACCGATGGTTAGAGACTTTGAATGATATGGCTCAAAATCGTTTGCAATGACCAAGGTGGATCCACTCTTTGTGTTCTACCAAATTCTAATCTTCTGGATTCATGTCCCTATCCTTTTTCTCTTTTCAAAGTTATTTCATTGGATTATACTCCTTGAATAACATCTTCAAACCCTAATCTTTCCGATTACTGCTTATACTCTTACTACTTCTACCATCATGGGATTAGAATCGACAACTGCATCTCTGTGTTAATGTGGTATGGCAACTCGAAGTGATGTACGTACGTACGAAGTTCTATGTTGTGACTGACTGATTGACACATTCCTACTAGTCTATTGAATATATGATGGATAAAAAAATAGTTGTAGCAATTAAACTATTAAAGAACTTGTATGATTGAAGGTAAATAATGATTTAGTCAGTCAATCATCTACAACATAGGACGGGGCACATATATGCATCGATCCAAGTTGCCACATCTCATTAGCCCAACAAGATGAACATCAAATTCATAGAAGTAGTTACTTCAATGGCAGCAATATGTATACAATATCTACAATTTTAATCTCATGATTAAACGGATGACAAAGAGTTTGTACACCTAAACTATTGTGATCGATTTCGAGCCATGTCACCCAGAGTCTCTAACGATTTATCATAATAGTTGCACGGAACCTAACCAAGTAGTCTGCATCTACCAACATGGCTGAAACTAGAAGTTAGTGATTTTATGAACTGATACCACGTTTTGGTTTGACCGGCCCTACCTTTCTTTCATCTGTCTGCAACACTAGTCAACATTGCGCGCCATGCTAATCGGTGGCTGAGCATTCGAAATATATATGCCAACCATCTCAGTTGATGTAGATTTACAACTTCACCAACTGATTTACCATCGTTCCCTTATTGTTGTTAAATACCGAAAGACATTGAGTATTCTATGAATAATTTCAAATTAAGTATTTCTTAAAGAGAAATTCACTACATACTTGAATAATGCCATTATTATACAAAGTGAAGGGATATAGTTAAATCATCTGTGAAATAGTCTCTGTTAAATTGAGAAATATGGTAGATTTTATAGTTGAAATCATGAGTCAATTGAAGTTAGACCATCATGGAAAACCTGGAAGCAACGAACGGCCGTTTCGTCTTAATGTGGTACTCCTCAGCAGTACTAAAATCTTCATAAAACACCCTTGTGCTTGTCAATACGAATATAAAATGATACATGAAGATAAATGAAACCAGTGTAAACAAGAACATTCAGAAACAGGGTTATCTTAATTTCTACGTGAAGTAGATATTAACATGGTTTTTAGGATTGAATCATGTAGATCACTGTAGGTAACATGATTGACATCTTACCCTTGTTTCTGATTAAATATATTTGACAAAACTATAAGATTATATCGTTTAGAAATCGATGAATTTCAAGGAGTTATCATAGCATTCACTGGTGATTGTCTTAGTTGTGCTGTCTCCTGAATTCATTCATTGAATGAAGTGACCTCGAGATAGGACGTTAGATATTATTGTGACAAGGGTATCATATGTTAAACATATTACAATGTTAATCAAATGAATCAAATCATAAGCAAATGAGGACAGTGTTTGTTGGGCAGAAGATTTTCCCACATATCTGACTTGCTAAGTAAAAATATCGCATCCATGTTACTCTTTATGAGACACAAGCCATTGACCAGATATCTTCAAACAACTCTTTCCTCACATCTCCTTTCCACCTGTCATCAAGCTATATTCATATTCATAATATCTAACCATAATTTGTACAGCCATGTGTCATTTGATTTTCTTACCTTCCTCCTTCAACGAACATTCCAACTTACGCTTCATCTTGTGATAAACTTTGATAGAATCCACATGATGTGTCGTATTCATCTCCACTATCCTCTTCTGACTTCCTCTTCAGATGGAAGTTGGTTTTCTATCTATCAAGGTCGGTTACTGATGATAATGTCTATCCAATGGATCTACAGTATATTGTGTAGATAGGTGTTTTGATGATGATTGTGACAGTTTACCGACTTTCGACTAAATACAATGGAACTATTTTGACATTTATGGTAAGAATTGTGATTGTGATGTTGACTGACAGTTGTTTTGATTTTCAGATTCTCTTCGATTATAGAAATGCTGTCTTTGACTTCTCTATTCTTGCCTTCATATCTGTATCAGGTGACCCTCGTTTATCAATGGTGCTGTCCATTTATGTAAAAGTCTCTACCTTTTCTAGAGTTTCGCCATCAAGTGTGATTGGGTTGGAACCATTTACTAGTTTGCACAAATTTCAGACGATTAATCAGTAGTCGTGGGACTCCTCAGCAGTGCATATCCGTGATTCCACCTCGCGAAATTCGAACCCAGGACCTATCAATCTCACACGCGAGCATTTAGTCACTAGATTATTGAGCCATTATCCAACAGTGTTAATGTCTAACTCTAAACAATCCACGAACTTGAGAGACCGTTCACCGTTGTCTTCAGTGAGTTACTATTTCACAACAGACCTGTTTGAACTCCACTAGTCACTGCTTCTCACTAGAACTCCAGGAAATACCTCATGGAGCCAGTCACTAATGAGCATATGATTATTATGGTAGAATTTGAAAAAATCCCAATATAACTGTATTTAAAGCTTTAATCAGTAAAATTGTTATTACATTTTGACATCGATACGGTTAGGAAACAAACAACTACTGTTATTATTGTAAGCAAAGTTGGATAATGGTTAGCAGTGGAATCCAGTTTGATGCACTTTTCGTCCTACTTCAGACTCGTCAGTTAGATGTGCCTGCATCTCAGAGTTTATGTTCACTCTGGGCGGAACTCGAACCGAGTACCTTTCGCTTCAAACACCATCACATTATCCACTCGGCCACTGAGTCCTGACAGCCGCTGTTATTATTCTTATTGGTTAAAATTTCATACTACAACCTCAAAAATTCTTCAATATGAACTTATTAAAATTCAAGAAGCATTCCACTGTTATTTGATCTTAGTATGAGACTGTTGATCTTCACAAGAATTAAACGTGAAATCTTCATATTTAGTAGAACAACTTAGAAAGAGATATTCCAATAGTCTACTTTTTCGATTTAAGACAACTATATGTATTTATTTATTTCTTTTGAAGATATGACTAGTATTCACATTTTACAACCAGCTACCAGTAGCACCTTCTATATGCAAAACTTTCCTCCGACCAATGGAAATCAGAAGTCAGACGAGAAGAGGTAGGAAAGATATATTTGATACGTTATCAATATACAGCGAAGCGTTTATTCTAAGCTGGCTAGTGAATGTAGGAGCAGTGTCCCACGCTGAGTTGAAACGTGATCTGGTGTGGATGCATGACCGAAAGCCTTCAGTTAAACTAGTCCACTTAAACAATGTGGTCAGCATCCAATATCGAACACTTAATGAGCTATTGATTTTGGGGAATTATTTACAGCTACAATTTAAACACATACATATTGGTACAAAGGGGCATCAGATACATATGCGCCACACAAAACAATGAGAATGGGAATAGAAGGGGGAAAGATACGTATATATAATAGAAAAAAAGTTTGATGAGAAAAAAGAGAAGAGTAGTAATGGGGGAACTGAAGTTTACAACCAGAAGATCTCTTTCAGTTAGGAAAGTTAGAACCACTCTTTAACAAGAAAGTAAAAGAAGGTTACAGCAGGTTCGCCACTGATTTCTATTCTGAACCATATCTGATAACGTCTCTAGCCACTGTGTTGCATCATCTCTCGGACCCCAGCGAGGGAGTCATGAAGGATCAACAGAAGCTAGATCTTTGCAGCTTTTTTTCATACCACGACACCATGTCATACACTGACCTCCTCTCCGCTTTTTCCAACCAGTACCAACGTCAGAAAATAATGCATGACATAGAATTCTCTGAGACGAC